CCTTCTCCCCCCTAATCGCAACTGAGGAAGGGAGCCTCTTGCTGCACCACCAGCTCCTTGGTATTAATTGTTGTTGGGTGGTAAAAAATGTCCACAATTTCCAAATGAACATCTTCAGTGTCTCGTTTGGTTCGATACAAATACTTCTTTGGTACCAACCAAACCTACCAAACACTAAAAGCTGGAATTGAACTCAATGCTAGAATAAGACGTAACACAAGTGCTCTCTTTGAGAAAAACTATATAAAGTAGAATTGTCTTGTGTAAGATGGAGTTCATCTTATCATTATGTAACTGTGCAGGTTTAACTTTCAGCAGTAGCTTTACGTGGATTTATGTCACTGCAGCCCTCAAACTGAGCAGAACAGACAACTGTAATGTGGACTAGCCAATACCTTAATAAGGCCAATATTAGCGCTAACACTGATTCACAAACTAGAATGGAGCATCCCTCGTCCCAACTTGCATGTAAAGTCACTGGCTGATCTCAGATCTGCTTCCTGTCAGTTTGTACCTCTTATGGCCTATTCCTCTGCAGATCAATCCACTGCTGCCAATGGAACGTTCTCCTGAATGATTGACTTCTCCATCCTGTGATCCAGAGCAGTCTGCTAGGGAAGAGTCAGGGGATTCAAACTGGCAACCCACCACACACAAACAGTGCTACTCCCATCTCCCACCAGGGAGTACTGCAACATGAGAAACTTCACACTGTTTGTTTATGAATCAGTGCAGGGAGGAGCAGGAGTTCCAGCATCAGTTGGAGTGAAAATAAAAAAGGAAGGGAGAGGCCGATGTCTCTTGCTGGATCTCAAGTTTTTGTCTAATTAATGTGACATGGGTTTAATATTCTGAACTTACACTTGTGCACAAATAAACTCCCACGTCTGCCTTCTGTCTGAGCACATTCATCACTCACACACACACACACACGCTCAATGAGAACGCCTCGTCTGCATATTGAAATCAAACACGAGACGCTCGTTAACAGGCTTCCCAGCAGCACGGGCGATCGCGCACGTTCTTCAGTCAGAACTGGCTTCCCTGCTTGTTTTCATTACTGAGGGCTCCTTAGGTCCAGGCTGCCCTCCAGCACAGCACAAAGCACTCATCTGAATTTAACATTGACAAACCTGGGGAGAGCTATTCAACAAATATGCTGCATGGCCTTTGAATACGATGCAGCAAAGGACGGTGCTTCAGTGCAATCCAACGCAGCCAAAGACTCAGGATTATTTTTATTTTTTTAAGACAAAACAACTTCAGGCTGAATGCACAGCCATGCCAGCCTCATGTTTCATTTAAACCCAAGGTTATTGTGACACGTGGACATGTTCAGAGAGGTGATGCTCATTTTAAAAAACAATAAAGCAACTTTAAGGTTGCAGGGAAAAGCCACAGTCAGTTTACATGTGTTTATGTTTGCCTTGAAGGGGATATGGCACAAATACAGATAGCACAAACAAGGATGATTTTAAGAGGAAGCGTGCTTACATTAATTTTGACATAATGGTGATTGTTACTGGTTTATTGTACCTCATTTTCTGCTTTGATGAGAGCTGCATGCATGGATAACCTGGTTTAAATGGCTTAATTCTGGTGACTCATGTTTTGTTCACGTTCTTTTTCAAAGCAATTTTGAAAAACTGCAAAGACCAACTGTATGTGATTAATAAAACCACTGTATCAGATTCCTTATTCGGATTTCCTTCCATTTAAGGTTGACTTGAGGCGTACCGAGCAGGCACACAAAGCACAAACGACTCAAAGACCTAGGGTTAAACAAGTCAAGTGGATGTTGAATTCGGCAATGATTTTATTCACTATGTAGCGCTTGTTTAATAAATACTCAGAATTTAACAGTCGCATCACAATGGTGGCCGCCGCCTTCGGGGCAGTGTTTCAGAACGCCAACAGTGTGAAAGCAACAGGCGAACCGAAGAGAAAACAAACTATTTCATTGAAATCAGCGATTGTTTGCGGATCACATGTATGCCGAATAAATCGGGGGCTCCTTATTACTCCAAAAAGATTGTAGTTTTTTTTTTTTTGTTTAATATACTTTGTCAGGTAAGAGAGTCAGCTTTGAACGGACACATTTTGAATGGAAGTTAGCTAGCGGGTCCCTCCATGCAACAGACAACAGGTGCATGTTGTGTTAGTGTGCGGCACAGACTCACCTTCTGCTGCCGCCTGGCCATGTCTGTGGGCTGCTTGGCGTTGAACGGGTAGGCTATGCACCGCAGGACGAACACATAAATTTGAAGTTTAATTTTTCTCTCCTCTTCCTCCTTCTGGATCCGCTCGCGCTCCTTCCTCTCCTCCTCTTCACCTGTAGTGTCTTTAGCACCTTTGCCTGGGGGACCTCCAGGTGCGGCGGACTGTCGCTGCTGGCCGCCCGCACGGTTGTTGCTCCCCCGTTTCCCCGCCGAGGAGGCAGCCGGTTTCTTCGGAGCCTCCTGGACAACTTCTGGGTCCGACTCCCCGCCGGTGTCTTCGCTGGAGGACGGGTCCAGCATTGTTCACGCTGTTAAAACTCCGGTTCAGACCGACAAATCAAAAGAAATAGAGAAACAACTGTTTAAGCTTTACTTTGTTTGTTTTAGTCGACGTGGCGTTAACAGCTGCACTTTACCGTCCGACAGTCCTTCCCTCCTGCGGTCGGTGGACGGTGTGTTTGAGTCTGAGCCAAAACCCGAGAGCAACGTCGGGTTGTTTTTGTTTTTTTCTTTTGGGGGGGGCGGAGTTTTCACGGTTAATATTTGGAGGTTGTCGCCGCGTGCGCTTCGTACAGTCACAACCGCGACGACTGTTGGAATGGCAGCGCGCGACCGCCGCCACTGGCTGCTGCACAGAGCTCGCGCGCTCTGACACGCGCTCCAGCACACAGGTGAGCAACCTGTTGCTGCAACCAGAGAAACAACAGCGGAGAGATGTCTCACTCTGCCTGGGTTTCAAGAATCACAAAACTCTTAGATCGTTATACACTGTGCTTAATGTTATATCTTACTGAAATCCTGAAATCAATCATTTGACAGAAATACAATTCTTTACTTTTTGCAGAGTGTCAAATGAGAAGATCAATAGCGCTGCCATATTTGTAGGCTACAGCCAGAAGCTGAGCTTAGTTTAGCACAAAGAGGAAACAATTAGCTCAGCTCTGTCCACCTTTACCAGCACCTCTAAACCTCACACATTTGTATATTATATTCCATTTGGGAATATAACTGTGACATTTAGGAGCATCTATTGGCAGAAATGGATTATAATATTCATTGGTATGTTTTCATTAATGTATAATCACCTGAAAATAAAAATTGTGTTTCGTTTTATATCTACAGACTCCAGCCAGTCGCTTCCATGGAGGTCACTGTGTTGAACCACTTTGAACCAACTTTGAATGTTTCTACAGTAGTTCAGAAGGCACAAACCAAACACTGGCTCTAGATAGGGACGTATGAATGTTTCACAGCCATCATAGTTTCTCCTTTGCACTTGGAAGGGGAGAGTGAAGCGAGGGAGTTGCTATGTGCATCTAGACCACTAGGTGCCACTAAATCCTACACACATCTCTTTAATATTTTAATATATCAAACCAAATGTATTAGTTATCTCTCCATATAGTGGTTGTTTGTCAGTGGTGGAGTCCACCATTAGCGCTTGTATATGCACAAGAGATTTAAAGGAAACTATGCATGCATGTCTTCCATAATCTGGAAGATGGAAACAGCTAGACGTGTGTGTCAAGTAATAAAGCAACAGCCAGTCAATTTTATTCATAACACAATCACAAATGTTCTTATTTATAGCTTCCTGCTCCCAGTGATCAATACATGTACTTTTATTAATTCATTACTTAATTAACCACAACTTAAAATCTTCTGATTGTAACTTTAAGTATTATACATACAGAGGACTACTGATACTATTATGTATGCTGTTGTAGGGCTAATCAATAGACCTGTGTCAGTCCTACTGTCTGATTACTTGATGGCCACATTCAAATTCAGACAGTGAAAGTGAACGCCCACTTTTGCAAGTCAGGTGTAAAGTTTTGACATGAAATGGTAGCAACATTTGTTTAACTCATTCAACGTTGATAGTTGAGTGTATTGGACAAAACAGAGGAAAAACATTTAAAGATGTAAGTCTCTTAGTAATAAAACTCCAAGTAAGGGTGCCCGGTTAGCTCAGTTGGTAGAGCTGATGTCCCATGTACCGATTCGAATCCGACCTGCAGTCCTTTGCTGCGTGTCATCCCCTCTCTCTGCCCCCCTTACCTGTCTACCTTCAGCTGTCACTATCAATAAAAAAGCCCAATAACAGCCCCAGAAAATACTTTAAAAAAAACTTGTTTTGTCTGTTTGCACCGGTAAACCTCCAACTGAACTTACTTTACTGAAGATGAGAAATATTAACTTATAAAAGACATTTCTGAAAGGCAAAACTTTCCTTTAATGAAGGAAGAATGTATTGCAAGACTGCTGCATTAAGATTTGGTGTATCATATTCATACACGTAAATAGCCTTAGATACACTGTGGCCACTAGATGTCAGAGTTTTTCATGTGTAATTTACCACTGATCAGCCAAATTAGAGCTTTACATACAGAAAAAGGCAGCAAATCTTATATACACTGTCAATGCAGCAAATACATGTAGGAGCAACAAGATTTCCAGGCTTGTTTAATTCAGATTTTCTGCTTCTGCTGCAGCTACTGATACTGCACCCCTGAAATAAAACTGATGTTGGTGCAGTGTATTTGCAGCACTACACTGTTGGCATATGTGTATATTTATTAAATTTCATTGAAACACGTGTGTAAGAGTTCTGTTTTCCAGCAAAATATATATTTTTTTATTTCATTGTAACAATCATTTAGGGAAGAGTTTCTGAGTGCTGAAAACACAACAAATGACAAAATATCAGCTTGTAAATTAGTTGGGGCTAACATATTAGCAAACACTACTTCCACATCTCTAAGTGTGTCTGTCTCTCTTTGGCGCAGCAGGTAGTGTACAGTGGACTGCTACTGGAGACTGAACCAGACAGAAAATGTGCTGCAAAAACCAAAGCTAGGAGCTAAAAGAGTCAAAAAGGTTCTGTAGAGTGTCAGAAGTGGTGAGCCTTTTATTTTATCCATTGCTCATATAAAACTATGAACTAGTTCAGCTTTAATAAAAAAGCAAGCAATGAAACTGAGAATGCTGCTGTTTGTTGTAAATAAAACCAACAATGTGTTTGTCCATCTCTCAATACTTTCCAACTTCCCTACCCTGACGGTGGCACACACAAATAGTGCATTTATCAGGGACTATTTTCAGCGGCGGATTAATCCACATGAGTTTTTTCTGGCAGCAGTACCGTGTGCATGGGATTCAGTCAAAATAAACTACGGCGTGCGTGCAAATGGTAATGACCGAACATGACTGTGATTTTAATTGTACTTTTAATAGTTTTTTGGACAACATACACAATACTTGGCAGTAGGATCTGCGTTGGGTCTGCGAATGATATTTGTTGAATAAGACCAGACAGAACCATGGTGCTTAGGTTTGGAAATGAATGGATGAATGGTCACATGCATGTTAGTTAATAAAATTTAGGAAAAGATGGACAATTAGAGAAAATGAGTTTGAGGAGATGCAGCAGAATATGGTGTCTTGGTATTGGAACCTGTACACCTGCAGCCAATCAGATGATGTATCAATGAGTAAAAAAAAAACAACAACTAATAGTAATCAACACACCAATTATGTGCCAATCAGTGACCTGAACTTTGAACTCATAGGGCGGTTGTTGTAAGCTTAAGGGACTTTAAAGGGAGTGTAGTAACATAGTGACCCAAAAATCAACTCTTGCACTCACCTGTTTTGTTGTCTTTTGTAATGGTGTGGTCCACAGGTACTTTGTGCCAGAATAGATGTATCTTTTACTAAAAGTTATGATGTCACTGTAACAGAGACAACTGAGGAGGTCCGCCAACCAGTCAAGTTGCAGTTTACATCCATGTCTATCCAGACTCACACAATATAATATATGTAGTGAAGACTTTGAAGGAATTGAGTACGAGCTACAAGGTGTATTTTTTGGGTAAATGGATGCATAATGGAATATTTACTCCTGCCATTTTTAGATGCAAAGCCTCTCTATGAGCTCACTCACAGGATCCCAATTAGCCCGAAATGTTACAATATGTTGTTGGCAGTCACATAAATCCAGTGACACTTGAAATTCAGAATGAGGCATTAATTGAAAGACAGAATGGAGATGGAAAGATAAAAGCTCGTACTGTGCTAATTATTGTTTACTCATTGTGTCGTCCCAGTCAACATGTGTTTGAAAATTCATTCTTAAATTATGGCTAAGCTGCCAGCTGTTTGTTATCTGAAGCTCAATGTCTGTGCTCCTCCTTTTGTTTTCTGTCTGTTCACTGATCCAGTCAGCACACCATGTGGACAACCCTGCATCACTGGAATATTAATGTCCAGTGTCAGTGTCCCAACTGTAAAGAGGTTTTCTACACAAGACCTGAGCTGCAGGTCAATACTTTCATCTCTGAGATGGCTGCTCAGTTCAGACAGTCAGCTCAACAGAAAGCCAGCAGCAGCAGCTCAGAGCAACAAGTTTCCAAACCAGGAGAAGGTCTCTGTGATGTCTACACTAGAACCAAACTTTTAGGAAAGGCAGGGAGGTCCCAGAACAGAGCCATATTGAGCCATATATACCGGTACATAACTTCCTGCAAAGTCCTTTGACTTTCCTTTGACTTTTTCAGTCAAGTGGACCTGACTGAAAAAGCCTGTTGTCATAGACTGTGAAGAAGATTTGATTCGCATTTGCACAGTGCAGCATGCAATGAACACGTAAGATTATTATTATTGCACAGCCTAGACACGTTAAAAAACAGGGGGTCGGGATTAATGTAAAGAAAACACTGTATTTCACTTAAAGGGATGAACTAGTGAGAAACGTTAAAATAAATGAATGGATTCATATTTTTATTTTTTTTTTACCAACAGACCAAAATACAAAAACATCTTTCATCAGGTGAAACAAAACACTGTGAACCTACCAGAGGAGAGAGGATGGGGAGGAAGATGGTGATGGTGGCGGCATTGCTGGCCACCTTTGTTACCATGGTGACGATTATGCAGGAGGCTGTGACCGTGCCCAAGACTGGCAGATCACCCAGAGGCATCAGCAGTTCGGCCACCCACAATGACAGGCCCGAATCCTACAGACACTGGTTTGAACCAGTTTTTAATTTGTTTATGTTGATTAAAGGGTCAGCTCATCCAAACTACAATAAAACATATTTCCCCTCTTCTCCCTAGTATCTAATCTATATAGTTTGCTTTTGTTTGTCCAGGCTTTAGCATATCTGTTTTGGCCTCCATACAGTCAAGGTAAATGGAGTTTAGTTTGTGTTGCTCACAGCATTCAAATATGACAAATAGTCTCTATGCAACTTTGGATTATCCAGAGGAAATGGGAAGCTGTTTCTGAAAAGACACATAGCTGTTGAGTTTTTGGAAATGTATTTGTTCAATGCTGTGAGCAGCAGATACAAGTCAGGCAGGCTGGGTTTTGTGTCAGAGGGCAGGTCGGTATTTCCAAATCTCAGCAGATAAAATCTAAACTTTCTGACTGGCTAGTGTGGAAGAAAAATTCCTTGAGTTCCAATTTTGTGGCTGGTTCACATTAGTTTTATTCAGTGGAGACAGAAGTTCACAGCAAAGCTGTAGAATTATTTCTGACCAGAATCTGGCCAGAATTATATACAGGGTTTGTAAGGCTTTCCTTACACTAGATCGAAGGGTTCGCTCACAAGGATCTGTTAATCAATGTAAAATAGTGTACCTCAAGACAGAGCTTACTGTCCTGTACAAAGGCAGGTACTTAAATCAATGAAGATTAGTTTGTCTCAGTACAGTACACTGGTGTTAAAGAAAAGATTTAATTAAAGACAATATAAAAAGACATAGAAGAACTTTTTTTCTACAGTAGAAACACTAAGGTTAAGTGAGAAAATATGATTTTTTTGTGATTTGACTGAACTGAGCCATTAACAATGCATATTACATTTGTTACATATTATATTATATGTATTATTATTGACCATTTTCTGATTTGAGACACATAATCATATCATGATGTAGAGCAGAGACTGAAACCTGTTTTAGTGCATTCAAGGAAACAAGTTATGTTAAAGTTCCTTTCATTCCTAATGAGTCATATCAGAGTGCATAACTTTGCCTGGTGTGTCTTGGTCAAAGAGTAAAGGTAGCTGTGTCTGAGTTTTGGCACAACCTACCTGAAAAGACTTGCATAAAAGCGTCACTGGTGTTTTTAGCAGTAATACTTGAGACAGATAATCTGTGAAAAAAACAGGTTCCTCTGGCTCCTCCTTGTGCTTCTAGGGGCACAGTGGATTCTTGCAAATGCCAAGTAATTTTGATCAAATGTACCTACTGCAGCTTTAAAGTCTCTAATGAGAACTCATTCTCAAAGACTTGTGTTTAAATAAACTTGTGTCATGCCCTTTAGTGTCTTTCTTTACCTCAGGTATTTGTTTTATAAAATTAGTTTAATAATATCTCATCTGAATTTCCATTTCATGAGTTATTTCTGTCTACCTGTATTTATTTTATTGCTGTATGTAAATAAGGATAAGAATTAACTGTAAAATTAAACTTTTATGTCTACATGGAGAAATCTTACCATCTTATTTATTTATTATTAAGGAAAGAATTTCGGCTGATAAGCATTTTGTTTCTGCTGATTTTACAGCAAATTCTTATGACAAAATAAATCACTTTAGGAAAGAAAAAAATGATGGATTAATCATCAAAGAAATAACTTATTATTACTCTAACTTATGATTATAACTAATTAGTTTTATAAGGTACCTATACTGTCTGTGACAGACACAGCTTACCTCTGTCCCTTCAGCTCGTGCGAAGCCTCCACCAACCAGCAGGGCCACTTTCCATGGCACGGAGGCCTGGAACTCCAAAAAATATCCTGCTCACATCTTTACTGACAGACAGAAGCTGGTTAACCACTGGGACAGCTGTTATTAAACAGCTAATATGTTCAAAATATTATTTTTTATTACAGTACAGTACATTATTAAACACAAAGAATCCTCAAAAGTTCCTCAAAACGGTAGTGCTTGAGTAAATGTACTCCATCATGGTTACCTGCTGATGTGGATTTTACAGTAGACTAACATACGTTAGTGTTATGTGTATTTACCATATTTTCTGGAGGGCCCGTAGGCAGGTACGATGAAGAAGAGGAGACCCATCAGCAGAGCCACGGTGGCGTTCAGAAGAAGAACAGAGGAATTAGGCCAAACCAAGTGGCACAAGCAATTACATTACCACAACAACACCATCACCAGGAAAACCATCCCAGTGAAGAGCTCCTGAGAACCGGAGGGAGGACAAAAAGGAGAGGTAATGAATGAATGAATAATGGAAGGTGGATTAGTAGATGGCTGAATGGATTAATAATTAAATTAGAGAATCAATGTGAGAGTATGATTGCATGATAGATGAATAAATGAAAATGAATAAACAGATCAATGAACAACTGAATGGATAAATGAATGAATGGATTTATAACTGAACGGATGAATAGACATATTATTGATTGAATGAATGAAGGACTATACAGTATAACTGAATGAATGCATAAAAACAATCAATTAATGGATGGATGAATGTGTCACTGGGTGTATATCTAAATATATAAAGGAATGAATATATGAATAAATGAAAATATGAAAGATGAATGAATGAATGAATTAATGAATTAACATAATTACTGAACATATGAGAGACTGAATGAATAACTGACTGACTGTAGTAATGAATGAATGCATTAAGGAACATATACATGAATGAATCAATTATTGAAAATAGTAACTGAATAAATCAATGAATGAGTGATTGATTGTAGGAATGAAGGAATGAAGGAACAGCACATACATACATAAACACTGAACCTACTGTGTAATTGAATACATTAATAAAAAAAATGAATATATAACTAAATGATTGAATGGATGGGTAATGAAGCAATGATTGATCACCTCATGGGTCCCTGCAACCTGTACTCATCTTCTATCACTTCTTTTGCGGCTTTCTCTCTCTCAGCCTGCACCTCCTCCACACCGCCACAGGAACATGAAGCTGTGTGTGAGAGTGTGTGTACAGTACACACAGACAGGAGGTAGGTGAAAAAAAAAATGCTCACAGTGAACCAAATGATTGAGTGTTGTTAAAAGTACCCGGAAGAGCACACAGCACGGACTGGCTGATGAAAAGATTACTGAGCATGTGCGGAGGCCAGCGGTGCTCACAATTAACCTGTCTGACACCATCACACAGCTAATGCTAACATTAGCATTACACTCACGCCTGAAAATGAAAGCAGGAATCACAGAGGTCTGTGATCATAGCATACATTTCTGAAATCCAAAGAGTTATCACATATTCACTGTGCAGCAACTCCAGACAACATAACCTGAGATAGAATGACTGTGTCTGCCAAACACAGCAGCTAGAGCTCATTTTCTCATGTTAAGTAAAAAGTAAAAACACATTAATGTAAATAAAAAAATATATGTAAGCTAACCAAACAGAGTTGTTAAAAACTGAATAACTCATTTAATTTTTTTCCTTCATAATACTATGACTAACTAGCTCTTCCCTGAAATACAAAGAAGTAAAAAAAAAAAAACATCAGCAGCCTCGCAAGCTGATGATTCACGTAGAGGGTGATTTTTTTTTTATTAAAGTTATTTTTTTGGCCTTTTATGGGCTTTATTGATAGCGACAGTCGAATATTGACAGGAAAGGGGGGCAGAGAGAGAGGGGATGATACGCAGCAAAGGGCCGAAGGTCGGATTCAAACCCAGGCCACTGCAGCAACTCCGTACATGGGTCGCCAACTCTACCGACTGAGCCAACCGGGCGCCTGGCTGCTGATGTTTTACCTGGGACAACTTGTAGCCTCAGTCTTCTAGCATATTATGTAACCACCAAGGGTTTACTTGAGACCAAAGATTATCCTTTTAAAGCAAGTGACAATTTTTTATTTTATTTTAAAGAACTTTTATAAACTCAAATTCATCATAAAACTCAACTGGGCCTTTTTTCGGGTTATGCCTATCAACAACATTTTAATATATTTATAAACTATAACATATCAGACTTTATCAGGGAACTGGACTTGATTTTTATTGAATTCATGTTTATTATTATTATTACTATTATTACAAAAAGATACATTATAAAAAATAAATTGTTAATCATAGTGGCCCTGGATAATAGCAGTAATAAAGAATCAATGGACAGGAATTAAACAGAGAAAGAACAGCAGAAGATAAAGCTGATGATGTGGAAATGAGCAGACGGTGTGTTGAAACTCACTCTGAGCTGATGAAGAGCCAGTACAGCTATATCCGTGTCAGCAGCAGCATGATAACACTGATCGGCAGGCACAACAGGAGCCAGTTCCCGAGGTTAATGCAGTTGCAGTTTGGGTAAATCCTGCGTTTAAACACAGTGTTTGAGCTGAATTTAATTGCATTTTTAAAAAAATGCACACTGACGCTGTGAATCCTTTGGTTTATGTTCTTTAATTTACTTCTGTCCAACAGACCGAACCAAGCAAACATTCTTCACAGGGGGATTTTAAATTGCAATTTTATATTTAGCAAATACCGACCCTTACACGGATTAGGTAGCTTCTTATTTATTTTGTGTGTTGCTTCAAATGCCTTTACAGGACTGTCTGTTTTATCATTCCCTTTCTTTGTATTTTATGTCTCCTTTTCTCCGTCTCATACATATACAGTCAGCATGTCTCCCACCACTCACTGGTTGAGGTACTCAGAGAAGATGAGGTTGGGCGACGTGGCGGGCAGCGTGCTGATGCCTCCTATGTTGGAGGAGTAGACAACGCTGATGCACATAGTTTTACAAATCATCAGGTCCTGTTTACTCCTGCTGGGAGCTGCAGGCTGACATCCAGCAGCCTGCAACACAACACAGCACAAGAGTGCAATTGCCCATGAGCACCAGTTAATGGTAGTACTACTGGTAGTAGCAGGGCGAGTAGTAGTAGTACAAATCACACAGTAAGTTTAAATAGTAAAAATAGGAACAGTTATCAGTAGCTTTAATAGTAATAGTAGTATCCATTATGGGACTATTACTGATCATGACATTTCTAATAATCGACTGAAGGCAGTGGTGTGGGATAATAGCAATAGTAGTACACAATAGCAGTTGCATATTTTCGGATTTTGCGGATGGGGCATGGGATAGTTCTGGCCCGGGTTTTGTGTGAATCTGACACACCTATGTGGACCTATGGGAACATCCGAGGGATCAACAAACAGACATTTAAAAAGGTGGACTATTGCAATAGTAGAAGTAACAACAGCAGTGGTAAATAAGAGCTGTTGAGGAATCTGCAGTATCAGTAACAGTAATATCACGGAAACAAGGTGTATTTTTTTTCATCCTGTTCAGTGGTTGTTGTACCTGAGCTGCAGCGGGCTGTGACACTGTCTGTATCTGAACACAGCTTAAGGTCTCTTGAGGAACATCTGGATGCTTTCTGCTCACTGAGAGACAGAGAAATACAGTATTACTGTATACTTGAGGTACTAAGATGAACACTGCACACAAGTAGAACCCAGAGGGACAGTGAAAGCAACAGAATTGGACAGCAGAGTTTCTGAAGTAATCATTGAGCAACATTACAAAACTGCAACCCTTCACATACCCACAGTTTCTTTCAGCTTTTTCAAATGACTGTCAGTTTCTGCAAAAATAACTTTGTTCTGGGTATCATCGGATAATCTGTAATTCTTCTCTATTATTTTTTCTCCATTTGTATTTTCTTTTGTTGCATTTTATTCTATTCTATTTTATTCTACTTAGTACTTACTAACTAAGTGATTTTAGTTTCTTCCTCAGTTGGTTTTTGTGGTTCCTCTTTCTGTTAAAAGCACTTTGAATTTCCTTGTTTAAATGGAGTTTAAAGTTTAAAGTTTTCATTGGATGAATCTGCGGTACACATACGTGTTACTGCAGTATAACGATGTCCAGAGTCAGTCTTATTTGTATAGCACCAAATCATAACAGAAGTTATTTCAGGACATTTTTCAAGTGGAGCAGGCCTAAATATTATATTTTTTAATTATTATATTATTAATGGTTAATTAGTTATAAGACATAAATAACCCATTTTATGTTGCCAAGTTGTAAAAAATGCCCATGGCCAAGGTTTATTTTTTCTATTTGGTAATAATGCAATTTTAAATGGTGGTAATCCATTAATGAATACTTAATAAGTGGTTCATCAATCAATCAGACTTTATTTGTATAGCACTTACGCTATATATAGCTCACAATGTAGGGTTGACTCCCACCATGGTGACGAGCCTCAGCAAGAAGTGGAAGTCTTTAAAGTACTCATTCGCCACCTGGAGGAGAAACACAGAGAGAGAGGGAGTAATATGAGAGTAATACTGTACAAGAAGAGAATAATAAAGGGAGAATAATCGTTTACATTTTAGCTCAGTTTCTAATGTAAATTTGTAGTTTACATCAACCCGTTGTCCAGTAACCAAAATCAAACTCTGAGAAGAAAATGATAAGTAAATAAATGAAAAAAAATGCAGAAAGACAAAAAAAGCATACACAAATATTCAATAGTTACTTAAAAAGCTGTTATTATTTTTAACAAATGTAGCCAGATTGACTAGCTTTTTCATATTTTTAGCATTGAATCATTTTTCTAATTTAACAGTGCTTAGAGACAGATGGACTCACATCTGAGGACTTCATGATGCCAAACATGGGGAAAAAAATTACGGGGAGCATGGCGGTCATGGACAGATGAATTACCTCTGTCACCTAGAACGTCACCATCAGCAGCATTACAAAGGCACATTCTGCCTCCTGCAAGGACAAATCACACAGACATTGCTGTAAAACAATATTGCATACATTTAATTTATCAGTTTATCATAAAATATACGTATCCAGAAGCCCACCAGTCAGGAGCCACAAAGTTGAATTAGTGCTTAAAAGGCTGCGTTCACATACAGATACAAAGTAGGAGCCAGTCTCTGGAGCTGTAGCTCTGTGGCACATAACTATTCTGCGACTGGACAGCTGTTTTCTGACGTAGCCGCCGTACAGTTTGTTTTCCAAGTACAGAATAGTTTTAAAGTCTTTTTTAATCTTGTGGTACGTGTTGTTGATGCTGTTCTACTACAACAATGATGCTGAAGCAGGCAAGACTGATTAGCATCGCGGTCCTGTGTCAGCACTGGAAGCGGCCCCCACTCCATTGGAGTGGACACTTCACAATGAATAGCAGCCTATCACTCTCAGTTTTTGAGTTTGTATGTGTAAACGGCCCCGTAAGTCTGTGGTCCCAGTTCCTCTAATGTCCACTAGATTCTACTCCAAGAAAACTGACGGGAAAACCACTAACTTTGCTCTGTCTGTACAGAGGTTCGAGGCTTAATGGGCATTCATATGATTATAGCAAAGCAAGCATAAATTAATTTAACTCAAATTAAATTCACCTCAGGGTCACCACCCACTGAAAAGGGAAAATTGATAGCCAATTAATTAATTTAGTCTCGATGTGAAGGTTGCCATATTTCTTGCTGCGTACAGTGACCATATATTTTATACACACAAACACACACATAATCAAGTTCTTTATAAATGAAAGGTTTATAAACTTCTAACAAGACACACAATAACTAACTACACACATACTTACATTACACTACACTACATACATACACACATTAATAGCCACTAAACAACCAGTGAGAGAGCAAGTACAACCATGAATAACTATGGATAAATGCAATGAATACAGCAGTAAGTGGAATTTCAGCCCGAAGAAGGAGCTGAAACCCTATAGTTTTTGTGTCGGTTTACTAGGGGTTCAAGTCCCAAAAGGGTTGAGATGTAATTCTATGATGAGTGGTACCTATAGCAACCACCTCATGGTAAGTTATTACATGTTTTACGTTATAAATTGTGAACTGTGGAGAGTGGCAAAATAATACTGGTACAGTGTTTTCTTGGATTAAGCTGATTGGTTACTGATATATGCCACGCCCATTTCCAACAAAGAAAATTTCAGCCATTTTGGATTTTTTGCTAATTTTTTTTTGCTTATTTTAGCACACATTTCATCTAATCTTCACCAAACTGAGTACATACCATTTCATTTATAGATGACACTGAACAAAAGATGCATCAGTTACCGTTTGTCTGTAATTGGTTACCAAACTTTTGAAGGCATGCCTTATGCAGTGGGCCATAACTCTTCAATGGTATATTAGACTGTAACCACATTTGGGAATGTGTGTAACATCTCCTACATTTCTACCTACAGGGGGCACTACAGAAACATCAAAACCTGGTATATCTACAATTATCTTGACTAAAATGAAATGAAAAGTTTTTCATGAACATGTGTATTGTCTTTGGTAACACACACGCTACTTATTAACTGCTGTATCCCTTTAATGTCATATTCTATGCTAACTGATTCCAGAAAAGCTGTACAGGTGGCATGTCTTCCTAAAGCATTGCTACCAAATATTCTCTGCATCATTACTGGGCCAAGCTTAACAAAAGTTACATAAAGCGGTTGTTCTTATTTAGTTTTCAAGATATTGACCAATGAACTTCAAAAGGGACATGGCACAGCACATAAATAGACCACAATCAACAACCATATGATCAATCATCACAAAACTCACAGGATATGTCCATACAGCTAACTGAAACATACCCTTCATTCAAATTGACCTCTAGTGGTTGCTATAAATGCAACAAACTGGGTGTGACATAACACAAAGCAAACTATAAATCAGATGCTGTTTGTCCATCACTATTTTAAAAGCTCATTAGCTCATCAGTTATATTTATTATAATTACTGTTGACCTTTGCACTAGTCTAGTTGATGGTGTTTAAAAAAGACCCACCTTTGTCCCAATGACAGGAGGAAGAGAAGGCAGCAGCAGCGGCGTAAGAGCGATCAGGGCGTTGTTGCGATAGTTCAGCAATCTTCTCAGCCTCTTCAGCATTCTCTTTTTCTTTGTCTTTTCTTTTTTCTCCTCTTCTCGTCTGCAGGTTCCTCCAGTCTTTACACTAAAAGCCTTTACAGTGGCTGATAACTGACCTGTCGTTGACCTGGCAGGAATACAGTGTCGGGCTGACCCTCTTCTCAGAGACTCCAGCCTCAAACTGTTTAAGATCACAGAGTATATGTTCACATCTGTTTTCTTGAGCAAGACACCATACCTACTTGCTAATTACTAGTTATCTTTGAATAAATGTGTGTAGCAACCGATAATGTAATAACAGCCAATAATGTAATACCTGCCAATAACGTAATAATTTTGGCCATTTTAAATGTAATAAAGCCAATAACGTAATACAGTAATATATGCAAAATGTAATCAAACTTTTTTTGAAAGTAATATCAAATGACCTGATAGTTAAATCATAAAATTTTGCCAATATGCGTTTGACATTAAATCAATTATAAAATATGAGATATGTGGTGATAAGCAATTTCAATGAATATTCATTGTATGTAAGGGTACTGTTTATGAGCCACTCTTATAATAAAAAAATAAGATTAGGTTGTATAAAACCAATTAATAATAAAAACGATATAACTGCTTAACTTTCCAGGACACATAAGTGGCAAAAAACTAAGTGGTTAACAATAAATGCCCTTAAATATGTATATGATTCTTATAATATATTCTGCTTTCTTTCATAAATTATGTTTTGAAATTCAGGTAATTTGAACTCCTTACCAAGATGCGGATATACCCCTCTAATTAGAGTCTCTATAAACATTAGAACGAGAATGAATCACAGTAATAAAAATTATCGAATCGAAAACAGGACTGCGATGTCTTTCAAAAAACAAGTATATAACTGTAGATGAGGAGTCCCAGTATGTGTCAATCAAGGAACCCACTCTCGTGTTTCTAGAGTCACAGCGACAAGACTAAACTATGTGAGACTTTATATCAACTGAATATTAAAGACTTAGACAAAATATGCATGATTGCTGATAGCATGTATGACTTGAGGCGTAGTTCTATTGTAATATAGCTAAATAAGATGATCATAATGCACTGAATGCGAAAAAAAAGATGCGGAAATGAAGTAATTGAGTAGGAAAAAACCTTCATCAAAAAGACCATTCCAGTGGAACGCAAAGTGTCAAAGAATAAGAAATCGTGTGTAGATACGTAACAAAGAAGTATGCAAGAGATCTAGGGGGTAAAATGACAATTCCATATGCTGCTCACTAGTTTAGGTTTAGGAGTATATTTGGATGTTGATTAATTTTCAAATAAAATGAAAGCATGGGGGTATATCTCGTATTCAACAGAGGAGATTTTTATAATTATTGAACATAGGATAGCATAGAGCAATGTAGGTACAATAGGACGTATTAATTTTCGTTGTCGAATAGTTATTGAATTTCCGATCGGGTTTGACGAGCGAAAGTGTGTATATTTTTAACAGACAAGGGACTTTATATGAAAATATAAGCATGGATTTCTTGAATAAACCCCAGGGTTAGATATAAATGCTATAAGTTATTTACAAAGTTTGGAATTGGTACCGAACTATATTAATAATGCATACAGAAGAATTGTCCAGAGCAGTATACCTAGAATATCAATGTGAAGACGAGAGAAGTCTACTTCTTGATATTAGGCTCGGTAATACTAAGAACCATTTGGGCCATGTGGAGTGACGAGATGTAAGATATAGAGCCTTAGACATGTGAAAAAGTTAGACCCTAAATAATTAGGTGAACCAAAAATGTTAAGTATAGAAATCTTTAGTGGTAGTTAGATGGTATAACCTTGAGTATGTAGTTAAAAGATTTTATAATAAACAGATTTGATTGAAACTTTGGTATTATGAAAAGTAATTATTGCTTAGGTTTTTAAATGTGTTTGAGGTGGGGATCTGTGTTCACAGATGAGAATGAGCAGTTGTTTGTAAATTGATGTTGTGGGTGACCAATATGGAGAGTAAGAGTTGCTGTACAATTTTTGTGGTTTGTTGTGCGTTAGGGGAGGCGTGGTGTAAGGGGAGCATCATCAGCAAGGTGTTGTGTATGCTGAGGTCTGTAGTGGTGTGTGTTGTGTGTGTGTTGATAAGTGAAGGATAAATGGCGAGTAGGCCAGGGGAAATAGAGCATGTTGAAGGAGTAAAGTATGATAGACGATATGGAAATGGGTAATGGGTGGAAGGGATGCAATGAAGAAGGATCGTCGGGTGCTATGTAGAAGAGAAGAGTGGGCAGATGCCGAGAGAAGTATCGAAAGAGGATCCCGGCGCATCCAATAATTTCTGAGGTGAGACAGGGTTGAGAAGCGGACAAGGTAGCGAATCTAGATTAATAGTGAAGTGAAACGGTAAAGGTGGGAAGTGAGAGGGATAAGAGTGAGGCAAAAGAGGGGGAGAAGAATATGAAAACAATCAAAACAAAAGGCGGGTTGGTGAGAAGGAAAAGTTGGGTGAGCGAGACCAAGGTAAGTGGCGGTGAGGAAATGCTGGGTGTGAGGACGACGAAACGAAAGATACTGATTAGGAGGAGTTAGTTGTTTGTGGTGGAAGTAAAAGTGAGAGAATCGGGTGTCGGAATAGGTGGGTTGGATGTGGTGTGCGACTAGTACCGGAGAAGTGGAGGAGGGATTCGTTGTCCGGGAGAAAAACGAGGAAAGAACAGAGCAAAAAGGGGAGGTGTGTGCAGGGGGAAGAGGTATGTGGGAGATCGTGTGGGGTGCATGGGCTAAATAGAGAATTTGAAAGGGAGAATGGGCGGAGAATTAGAGGAGTGTAGGAGGTGGGGTGGCGAAAAGAGTGAAGGAGAAGAGGAACGGAGAGACGAATCAAGAGAGGGAGAAAAGTAGAAGAAGAGAAGAAGGAAAGGTACATAGGGGACTCGATGGGGAAGGACGAAAAAAATGAAGAAGTTGATTCAAGGTTTTAGAGTGAGAAGGGGAAGAAGAGAGAGAGGCGGAGGAGAATGAGAGGATCGAACAAAAGTAGGGTGAAGGAAAAGGATATAGGCTTCCAAAAGTGAAGGGAAGGAGGCCAGAATAACGGGAAGATAAAGATAGAGGAAGCAGGACAGGGGTGGGAAAAAGGGAGTTGGGATGAGAGGGAATAAAAAAAGGGTAGGAGAGGGGGAAGAGTGAGGGGAGGGAATAAAGAAAAACCATGCCACACAGTAGAAATGAGAAAAGGGCTCAAGAAGGAGGAAAAGGAGTTGGCAGGACCGGACAGGGGGAAAATGAGAGAGGGAGAACGGTGGGAGAAGATGTGAGCGACAAAGAAAAGAGGGAGGGAGAAAGAATAAGAGGAGAAGCAACACTAAGGGAAAAACAAGGGAGGGAATAAAGGACTGGAGGGTGCAGGTGGGAGGTGAGGAAAAGACCTAAGCAGAAGAGGGAGGGAGGGAAGGAGCGAGCAAGTTGAAAGAACGGGGGGGATGAGCCCCAAAAGGAGGGTACGGACGGAAAAGCTGGTGGAATAAATGGGAAGGGACCCAGAGCGTTGTTACAAGGGAATAGCCAAGAGGAGAATTGGGTTAACAGCGTGGGAAGTGGAGGGTAGGATAGGGCAAAGAAAAAAAGAGAGTTGTGAGGGAGGAAGGAGAGAAAGGAAAGAGAAAAACCTAAGAAGAAAAGAAAAAAGAGTAATAAAAAAAGAGAACGTAGGGGGGTCAAGGGGAAAGCAGACCGTAAAGGAAGAAAAGGAGAGTGAACCTGGGAGGGAGAAGGCACGAACGAAGAGAAAAGCAGGGACGAGGGGGAAAAAGTCGTAGCGGAGGACAGAGTAATCTCGGTCAACCCAATGAACCTGGGGCCATGGGAAAGGGTAGGGAATGGAAGGGATGAGTCAGGGGAAGAATTGGGAAAAAGGCGAGTGATGCAGGAAAGAAGAAGTGGTGGCAGCTGGTGAAGGACGAAGGAAAAATGGTTACTCGAAATTTATCCACGACCTGATTTGAGAGACACATATGTAGGGAAAATACTAAATCTTGTTCGTGTATAGGTGGAAAATTGAACCTAA